AGAAGCGGTTTGAATCAGAAAAGAAAGAGCAGATACATATTCAGGCAACTAAAGCAGTTCTAGAGAAGGCTATAGAGCCTAATTGATGATTAGAAATAACCCTACTCTAGAATAGAGCTGAATCTTTTGATTCAAATTTCGCACCCTCTTTTGCTGGTCCTGCATCAGATTGTCAGAAGGGAGAAGGGCAATCAATACTTATGCCTCTTCTTTTTTCTAATCACAATCAAACACAGAATCCGTTAGAGGATCGAAACTTGGAATCCAGAGAGAAAACACAGGAAAATAATTAGGAAAACCAATAGAAAATGATGAAGTAGAAGTTAGGACAAGAGAAAAGGACGATGTATTCCGATGCGTAAGTCAAATTTCATAACATGATATTGATGAGAAAAGACTGACCAAATATTCATCCTCTCTCCCCTCCCCTATGCTAGAAACAGAATTACCCAAGCAGCAATCTCCGATAGGGGCTTCTACGGACAGCAATGCTAACATGTTAACGAAGACAGACAGAAAGAATGGAAGTGCAGACACACGCCAGCAGTCTTGCAGACAGATAGATAGACGGGCACAGACAGACAGACAAGAACAGACATGGACAGAACGCAGACAAACGGATTGACAGACAGAAACAACAGGGCACGGACGGACGTGTTCAGACAGGGGCGGACGGGCACGTACAAAGGGAAGGACAAGGACTGACGCGGACAAACGGCCACCAGGACATGGCATGCAAAGACAAGGACAAACACGTAACACAGACAGACGAAGACAAAACACTCATCTGCGGTGGCCGCTCCTCCATTCCGTGCATCAGAAGCTCCCTCCTCGCACGTCGTGGACCACAGTCGCCCATGTGGATCTGAAACAGTCAAAATGAAACGTTGAAAAGCCGGTGAAGGAAGCTCCTCAGTACCTGTGGTCCTTTCCGCGACACGGTCGGAGTGGATCGCCAGCTGCCGACCGTTCATTTGGGCTGAGCGATCCACCTGCCAGGGTCACACAACTGAAAAAACTGCTTTAAAAACGACTTTTAAATTTTTATCAAGACCTTCTTACCTGTCACTAGATGTGCGACACGGAGTTTGACGCGTTACCCAGAGCGTCTCTGTGCTTTATACCCAATATCTGAAAAAGAACAGAAATGAGTAGATTAAAGGCTTTCAAATGATCGTAACGGCATAAATAAACACGATTCTCTCAAAGGATCACTATGAATTCCTCAGTAATCTCAGAAAGAAGTTAGGAACATAAACAAAAGAATCTTAATCTGAGCAGAGATACATGCAATCGATGCCCGGTTATCATCGAGGAGCGACTGGTCCTGGATAGGCGGTGAATTTCCCGCCCTTTATTGATATTAAATCAATTGAACGTAAAAAAACCACCGACGGGCCAACCCCACGGTGCGATGGCTGCCGGATGGGTGGTTTTCGCGCCTTTTATCGACCGTTAACCACCCATGGCACATGTTCTCGTCGGAGATTCCCCAAGGTCCAACCGAACGATCAATACATACATACAGACACACAGGCACTGTTGTACATACACACATCCTCACACTTACACTTTTTTACAGTCACACAAATCCACGTCACAGAGAAACCCCGCTATGTGAAAGAGAACAATTCTGCGTACTAATACAGACATACACTTACATGTACACGCACCCACACAGTCACACACAGAATATACATACTCACAGACACCCAGACATACACGCAAACACAAGCCGTATCTCAAAATTAATCACCAAAGAACACCTTCCTTCCATCCTTTACTCGTTGGTAAATTATGCGTCGACGAGGAGACAGACTTCAAACCGTTTCAGAAAAAGTGGCGACGATGGAATTGTCAAGCTATCGGAACATAATATTCGAGGGCTATGTTTGAGCAATGGGATTACCCTCACGATGTGAAACTGCATTTTTCCCGTCTTTTTGCGATTAAGATTTCTGACTCTGAATATGAGGGCCAGGATCAATGCTCGGCATGGGAGAGAAGAACTTAAACAACAAAATCAGACAAACACTACTTGCTGCAGTTGCGTCGCGGCCTTCGCACTGGAGCACGTTATTTTGGTGTGTCTAGGCACTGCGGGAAGGTCTTGAAGACAGGAGAGTTCCTCTTTCGTAACTCTGCTTATTGGCGGTTACGTAGCGCGCTCAATCACGTTATTTTAAGTTGATTACCAGTTGTAAGAAGTAATTTTCTATGATCAACGGGCTGTTAAACTATAGTTTAGTAATGTATGTCTCTTTCCTGCACGTTTCCTCGTTCATGTTTCTTCCAAGACCATTGATAGGTAGTTACCCACCCCTAGTGAATGACTAGTGTACACTGTTATGTGTTTCTATTTCTATCGCATGCTTCTTGGTTTGTGTTTCTTCTGAGACAACTGCTGAGTAATGACCTTGATTGATAGAATTCTGAACCCTGATTTAGGAATATGCCAATTTCTATACAATTGATTCATCAAATCGAAAGAGGCTACGGATGACGATGTTAAAGTCAAAGAGGGGTTTGAAGAACATCCACACGTTGTGTGTAATCGCCAGCGGCTATGCAGAAAGAAAACAGAAAAGCTTATTAGCTGGGGATTGAAACAAAGGCAAGGCATGAGGGCGCGAGGCGAACTTAATTAGGTGTGGAAACTCCATGATCATTGTGCAGCTCGCATATCGATATGCAGCAAGTTAAAGTTGTTGAATGAAGAGAATAACAGCAGTGAAAAACCAATGCTCCAAAAAAAAAA